TAACGACAATGGAACTCTACTCACTGATTAACAATCCGAACCATTTTTCATCAAAGCAACCGTATTCTCAAGGTGTTACCCATCTAGATACTGAACAGGCTCAACATTCCTTAACTTTGGTGATCGATCGTATAGGAACTTTAAGCCAAAGATATATATATATATATATATATATATATATATATATATATATATATGACATGAAAACACTCCAAAGAGTACTCAGGATCGCCTCGTCAGTGATGTTATACATCATATATATATATATATATATATATATATATATATATATATATATATATAGGAAGAGGTTATAGATTCAAACGAGAGAAAAGTGTGTATATTAAAAGACGAGAGAAGACGCAAAGGTTTTTGGTTGTAATGTGGATTTTAAAAAAATATATTATGTTTTATTTCACATAATTTTACTACACGAGTTTCCGGTCTCGTGACCGTCATCAGGCAAAGGGTGGAGATTTCCACATATTGTTAAAAATAATTCATTTTTTTTCTTTATGTTTTTCGATGTTAAATATCCTCAATATGAGACATTTTCTTTTTTGTGTTAATGATCCAAATGTCTTTCTTGAACTGGCAGGGAAAAGTTCTGCGTGAAAGGTTATAAAACAATTATGATTGGTTCGAATAGTTATCGGCATGCTTATCTTTTTATGACCCTGTGTGTTCTTAGATCTATTTCCATTTTCGTGTGCTTTTGTCAGCATGCGTGTATATATGTGTATATCCCCTCTCCATACGTACACACTGTCTCACTACGAGGAATCAGTGAACACATCTCTACACCCACGCACACATACACACACATACACAAACACACAAATCCCCCCACACACACATACCGTCTCATTACAAGGAATCAGTACATAAACACACATACACACATACGTACATACACATACTTCCCAAGTTACATGGAATCAGTATATATACACACAAAAATACATACACACATATATCACATAAACTCATACTTCCTAAGATGTGTGGGGTTTGTTTGCGTGCCTGTGAGTAGTTCTCCTGCTTTTGTCAATATATATATATATATATATATATATATATATATATATATATATATATATATACATTCGTGCTCCACAGACACCCACATGTGAGCGTGCGTACATGCATGTGAGTTATTTGATCACTCTATTTCGTTACTATGTGTGCATGTTGTGTGCCTTTGTGTGTGGTGTTATGATCTATTTAATCCTGGTTTAAATTTGTTTATGAAGTGTTTTTCTTCTATTTGTAGGTAAGAATAATTGTCTGTTTGATATATTGGCATAATTTTAAATTTTCCCTGTTTATATTTGAAGATGTGTTGTGATACAAAAAGTTTTCTGTTGTCTGGCAATTTTATGTTGCATTTGTGTAGGGAGACCCTGTTGTTCATTTGTTGACTGATACCTATATATGACTTCTTGCATTTTGGGCATTTGAGTACATAAATCACATTTTTGGAGTTGCAGTTTAAATTTTATTTATTATGAATGTCGTTTTGGGATTTTCAAAAGTGCAGGAGTTTCCTTCTATATTGATGTCACAAACCCCACATCTTTTTTTGTTGCATTTTGTGATTCCCTGGTTAAATTTGGATATGGTTAATATGTGTTTTGTGTTTTTAGATTGGCGTTTGCTTTTAATTATTTTGGTTGTTTTCAGTATATTTTTCAGTTTATTATCCTTGCTAAGTAGGTCTAGATTTTTTGTAATTCCTGTGAATAATTCTGGATTGTTTTTTGTTGTATGTTGAGACATGCTAGAGTTTGTTCGACGTTACGTTTCTTTTTATTTCTAAGTTGGTCTAGAGGAATTTGTTTCGCGAGTTCAAAACCTTTGTTTATTAGTGCTGTGGGGTAAACTCGTTTTTTTAGAGTTTTATGTAGTTCTTATAGCCGGGTTTTTCGGAGGTGTTTATCAGTACAAACCCTACGTGCTAGAGAATAAGGGATGGATTTTAGGCAGCTTTTTGGGTGATGGCTCTTGAAATGAAGATATTCTTCGGTGTCTATATGTTGGTGGTAGATATCTGTGATTATGTGGTTGTTTTTATTTCTAATAATGAGTATATCTAAAAATGGTTATTCGTTAAAATTATACTCTTGCGTAAATTTTATTTTTGGGTGTAAGTTTTGAAGTAGTGTGGAATTGGTTAATATCACCCAATGAGGGTTTCCAGAATATAAAATAATCATCTGAGTATCTTTTTCCAAGTTTTAGTGAATTCGGTTTTTATATTTTCCCCATATATTTGTTCTATCCTTTCATAGATATTTTTTTCTAGGTAAGATAATGTTAGGGTGGCATATGTTGGTACCACTTTTGTTCCCATTGCAGTACCCAGGGTTTGGATATAGTTTTTGTTGTCAAATTCAAAGGTGTTATTGTTTAGAATTAGGTCTATACTATCGATAATGAACTCTTTAGGGAAGCTCGGATGTAGTATTTCTGGATGTTTTTCAATCCAGAATGAGATTGCCTTTTCCATAGTTCATGGGGTATGTTGCTGTATAGGCTACTAATGTCAAAAGTTGCAATAAGCTTTCCCTGATCTACCTTTTATGGAATGCAGCTTAGGAAATGAATATTATCTCTCTCTCTCTCTCTCTCTCACTCTCTTCTCTCTCTATATATATACACACACATATATATATATATATATATATATATATTTATACACACACACACACACACACACACACACACACACATATATATATATATATATATATATATATATAAATAAATATGGCGCAGTTCAATTTATATTACATTATTCTATTTATTGAAATATTTAGTTCATGCCACATTGATAAGCTCCTAAAAAAAACAACCTCAAACTGCCATAGAAAAAAAAAAGACACTCGTTTAAATAAAAAAAATTCAACCTTAGCGTTGCGACTGCACGCTCCAAAAGTTTGTATCCGTTAACAATAACACATTTAAAAACAAATATCATATCTCAATTCGCATTATATTTTTCCCTTTCGAATGCTACCTGAATTTTACCAAAAACAAAATAATTTCCATGCCTGAAGATGACTGAATGTACAGTTGAATGTACTTGTGTATTAAAGAAATACATTATACGGCTTATAATTTTTAAAATCAATGATCATAGCATTTATCGAGTGATTTGTGGGTTAATGCACCTTTAAAATTTTGTTAGCGAAGAGATTTCGCCATGTTATATCATTATATATATATATATATATATATATATATATATATATATATACATATTGAATGAATCATATATATATAAATATATATATATATATATTAGTAATATATATATATATATATATATATTTGTATGAATATATATATATATATATATATATATATATGTGTGTGTGTGTGTTATCTGTGTGTGTGTGTGTGTGTTAGTGGAATATCGTAAGGAGAACATAATTTCGATTACTAATGTATTACGTTAATTAACAGTAAAAGCATTTTACTAATAAAAGTGTATAAGAAATCTGATCGCAAGACAGTCCACGTTTTTTTTCTCACAACATTTTATCTTTCGTGGTAAATCTTCTATTATCACGTATGTGGCACATTTAATTTTAAAGATATATATATATATATATATATATATATATATATATATATATATATATATATATATCTGTGGGGAATCATTATTCATTAATTCTATAAGAAAAACATTTATTTTTTTAAAATATCAGGAAAAAAGTAAGGACAAATTTGTAACAAAATGAGCGAGGACAAATTTTTATTTCTATTTTTGTTTATTACCTACCTTACATTTTTTTATTGTTTTATAGCCTGTTTATCTGATGGTAGAAATAGCAATATTTGACTGACATCATATCTCCTCAAAGCTACCCCAGTCACACTTCTAACCCTAAACCTCAAGTCGACGAGTTATGACTGACAATTTCTTTGATTTTCACCAATGTTAAGTCGGGCTAAATTTAATTTGCCCTCTTTACTATTCATTAGAGATTTTAAAACGATTATTTATAAAAAAAAAAAAAAGAAATCCAGAAATACATTGCCTATTAAATGTCAAATCTGACAAGGCTCAAATATACGCGACCCGACTAGCCACATAATTTTATTTCCTTCTTTTTTATTTACAATTTTCTTTGTTTTCTTCTTTCTTTCTTTCTTTCTTTCTTTCTTTCGAACACTATCAATAAAAACGTATTTCGATCAATCTTTTGAGGCACAGAGTTAAAACAATTCATTTTGGATCCAGCTGGAGCCAAAAATGAAAACGATGCACTAAGAAAGATGCCTGTTGCTTTCAAACAGATACATCTGAATGCTAACTCACCCGGGCTTAGCACGATACCAGGAGTCTCCACTTATATATATATATATATATATATATATATAGGTTTATGTGTGCTTGTTTGTGTGATGGTGATTATGTTACTTTTTTGTTATATATATATATATATATATATATATATATATATAAACATCAATATATATATATATATATATATATATATATATATATATTTATTTTTTTATATATATATATATATTTTATTACATATAAACATGAATTCTCTCCTCATTTCCTAAACCTCAAGTCGACGATTTCTTCTGACAATTTCTTTGATTTTCACCAATATTTTGTTCGTCGTTTCCAAACGATTGTTTATAAAAAAAAAAAACAAAATACATTTCTTTTTTGTCGGAGAAATCATTTTATTTTATTTTCGATGAAAAAAAATCTTTTTTTCTTTCTTTCTTATCAAGTCAATACTATTTCGATCAATCTTTTTTCTTTGTTATTTGGATCCAATGACAAGCAAATAAGAAAATGAAATCGAGGAATGGAAGACAAGAAGAACTGAAAATAGAAATCTCGTTCTTCAAGAATATTTTGATATATATATATATATATTCATATAAACAATTTTATTTCTTTCTAAGTCAATTTTGTTTGATATTTGAATTTTATTTATTTTCGATGGGTGAAAAAGAAGAATTCAATGATAGCAAATGAAAATCTATCTATCTATCTATCTATCTTTTATCTATCTTATTCTTGTATATCTGATCTATCTATCTATCTATCGCAGTATCTCTTCCTATCAATCCAGCTCAGTCCATTATCTATCTATCTATCTATCTATCTATCTATCTATCTCATGTCTCTCCACTTATTTCTCCCTTGACCGCTCTCTAATTGCCAGATTGATTTTCACATTGATAGATTCTCTCTCTCTCTCTCTTTCTCTCTCTCCCTACCTCTCTATCTATCTGTATTTATATATCTCAACTTATTTCTCCCTTGCTTTCTCTCTCTCTTTATCAGATAAATGCTCAGATGGATAGAATATATCTATCTATCTATCTCTCTATCTGCATATTATATATATATATATATATATATATATATATATATATATATATATATAGAGAGAGAGAGAGAGAGAGATAAATATATAGATTCTATCTACTTTCTTCTCTTCATCTTCCAATCTATCTATTTATCTATCTTAATATTTTCATCTGCTATCTATTTTCACATCTTCATCTTCTATTTTCATATCATCATCTTATATCTATCAATCTATCTATTTTCATATCTTCAACTTCTGTCTAACTATGTTCAAGCCTCTCGACGTATTTCTGCCTTGCCCTCTCCCTCTGTTTGTCCGATGTGTTCTCAGAGGGATAGGTAGATTACCTCTCTCTCTCTCTATCTATCTATCTGTCTGTGTGTGGGTGTGTTTTAATGTGTTAATGTCTCTTCACATATTTCCCCCTTGCTCTCTCTTCTCTCTCCTCCCTCCCTCTCTCTTCCTCTCCCTCCCCCCTCTCTCTCTATCAGATAGGCTCTCAGATGGACAGATTCTAAATCTGGAACTCGGGACTGCTTCTAGATATGAAGTTATATTTTTTTTTCTTCTTTCCAAATTTTCCATTTTTTACTCATCGCAACGAAAGTACTGACCAGACTCAGTGGGTGACAAATGTTTATATCTTATTTCAAACTCGAATCCGTTGTACTGAGCAAGTGAGCAAAGAGAAAGTTTTAAGAAAAAGAGAACGAGAAATAGACAAATGAAATTTCAAAGACAGAATATGATGAAGGAATGTGTTATGGGGTCCACCCGTTTTTCATAGAAGTGGAATCGCCCGGTGTGAATACCCGGAAGTCGGAAGTGAGAGTGTGAGGTAACTGCTTTGTAGGAGTCACAGTTGCGAGCACGTAGACTCAGAAGGAAGTCCTACTTCAATACTGAATTTCCCAGACTATTTATATATTATTATTTCTACTAATCGCATTTTTAGATCTACAAACCGTGTTACCAATTGTATTATTACGCCAATACATTTATTTGCTATATTTCATTCCTGCGTTTGTCATTCATTTTGCGACCGGATTTCATCTCGGAATCCACAACATAGTGCTTGTTGAATGTGACACTCACAGGATAAGTGCAAAAGGTAAAGCAGCAAATAACTTTTCTTAATAAGCTTCTGGAAATGATTGCCACATCAGGGATTTGTATAGCAGGAATACAAACATTACTAAAATTCACATAGGGCAGGAAATGGTGGAGATTTATTATTGCCTATGTGCCGAAGCATGAACGTGTACTTCTATGCATATTAAACGACAAAAGAAGAGTTAATTCACTCGCATATGGCAGAGGTGTTGTTCTATAATTGCGCGCATGATGTAGTCCAAAATTTTTATCACCCACTACCAAAAAGTCATGAGAACATTAGAAGAACGAGTGATACAGTAATACAAAGCACAATACTGGATTCATCTTATTCATTTTCATTGACGCTGTAACACATCGAGTAGGTCTGTATGAACAACGTCATTAGCCTCGCTTCCAAACTGCAAGAGCTCGTGTCAGCCATCTGAAATAGAAATAGAAAATTGTATTATTTATTATTATTATTATTATTATTATTATCTTTGAAATCTGTTGTTTACTCATTTCTTTCCGGGTCTCGATCAGAGCTCTAGGGTCATTAATGGCGTCATGACATTTTCCACTGAGCAATTTTGAAAAAAAATATCACACATATTTTACGTATATAAAGTCCTTCGTAGGGTGTGGGCTGTAATCGGGAAAATAAATTTTTGTATTCTTTAAGGCATACTATACCAGGAACCCCTTCAGTTATTATTATTATTATTATTATTATTATTATTATTATTGTTATTATTATTATTATTATTATTATTATTATTATTGTTATGATTATTGTTGTTATTATTGTTGTTTTTGTTGTTTTTATTGTTGTTTTCTCATTATTATTATCATTTCCTTGATTTCTGGTACGTAGTCATTTCTTTCCGCGTCCCGACCAGAGACCTAAGGTCAAAAATGACATTTTCCACTGAGCAACTGAAAATCTCTTCAATGAGTCTATTGTCCAATCAATTCGAGGGCTCCAACTACAACAGGGATTGTTGATGTTCTCATGTGTCACATTTTTTAAATTTCGATTTCAAGGTCTTTGTATTTTGATAGCTTTTTTTAAATTTCTTCAAAGATTCATTGCAGTCTGCAGGGACTGTCATATCAATAAGGAGGCAATTCTTTTGTTTGCGATCTCTAATAACGATGTCTGGGCAATTAGATTGTTCTGGCTGTGTGTATTATATAATCCCATACAATTGTTTACTGTTGTGGATTCCGGGTTGAAATCCGGTACCAATAAATAACAAACGCCAGGAATGTATATATGAAAATAATGTATTAACGTAATAATACAAACTGGTAAAGCAGGTTAGTAGTTCCAGGAATACTGGTTAGTAGCAAAATATATATACAGTCTTTGGTATTGAAGTATCACTGTATGACTTCTTACTGAGTCTACGTGCTCGCTCACTGTGATTCCTACAACGGTGTTACCTCACCCTCACTCTTCCGGTTATCTACAACCTTTTACTCTGGACTCGACTCTTCTCGACTCGGCCTTGCTTTCGGGTCTTCATGTAGCCGTAGTATATGTATATACTGGGTGAATCCATTTGTGTAAAAAGGGGAGAACCAATCAACATTTACTGGTCTTAATTTAGAACCGGCTCAGGGTGGCCTTCATACCAAATTCTTTCAACTTCCTTTCCACAAAAGGTGCAGATTTTCCAGTGCAGATATTGGCCCACGCTGTCATGTCGTGTTTTATATTCAGTGGATGTAAATACCGTGCAACAAGATGATGGTTTCTGGATATTTATCACAGAATCTGCATTTTGAGCTAACACAATTTTTTTAATATGTATGCTTGATAATTTCTAGTTAACAAGCATTCGTCTTGTGTAGCAAAAATAAAACTTCCGGTTTCAGGTTTTAACCCTGCACAACATAACCACTTATGGCTACAGGGTTTGTCTACATCAGCTTGATTGGACAGAGTATTGATCGTGAAGTGGTTTATCTTGCCATCGTTTCTGCATTTGGTCGGTTGCATTTGCTTTTGCTTTCTTTTTTTTAATATTTTGCAGCTTCAGTTGGTGTATTGTGCTTTACTTTTATTTCTACATGCAACTGAAACACCATTTTGAATTTGTTGGCTTCCTTTATTATAGAATAAAGTCGCTTACTACTTTCATGTTCTTTGAAACAATTCATTATCCAGTCTTCTGTAGTTTCCAGAATTGACCTTTGAAGGCCAATTATTATTATTATTATTAGTAGTAGTAGTAGTAGTAGTAGTAGTAGTAGTAGTCTTAAAATCCGTAAAAATTCCACTCTTTTCCTGTTTGAAATTTCTGATAAATCTTAATTGTGAAGAATTAAGATTTATCGTTAACGATTGCTAATGATTGAGTAAGCTCATATTCAGTTCAGCAACAACAAATTCAATCCATAGAAATTCCCCGTTAGTCGTTATTTCAAGAAGTAAGGGGGTACAAATGAAAAGTTTTGAAATTGACAACTTCTTTCGATTTCATTGAAACAGCCGATCAACATTTCTAGATTCCCTTATTTCCTTCTTTCTTTCTTTGTTTCTTCCGTTCATTAATTTTCTCCCTGAAATCAATTAGTTTTTCCCCACTTTCGACATATCTTTCTACATTAAGATAGACATACATGAACATATCCATACGTATTAGAAAGACCCGTGAATATATACGTAGAAATTCCCCACTCGAATCGTCAAATATTTTAGTTTATCAACTTTAAAAAAAAATATTGCAATAACAATCATAAATATGAATGCTTGTCGTTATAATAAGTAAGCTAGTACAAATAAGATAATTTCAAATTGACATTTTTTTCCATTTCGCTGAAACAGACGTTAACCTCATCAATCTTCCCTTCTTCTATTTATTTTCTCACAGAAGCCAAGTAGCCTCTTTGATATGTCTTCTGTCTTCTCACGTGATCAAAGTGGAATATTCCATTATTTATGTGGTATTAGCACGAGAGGTTAAACACTTCTGGTTTTCTTTCTTTCTTTTTTTTCTTCACTGAAACCAATGTGTGTGTCTTATGTGTTCTTCTTTTTCACGCGCGTTCAAAACGGAATAAGACATTACTGATGAGGTATTGGCAAGGCGTAACGGTCGTGCGAACTAAGGCACTAACAAAGGAAGGTAAAAGCACAATTATTATTATATTAGTAGTAGTAGTAGTAGTAGTAGTAGTAGAAGGAGGTGGTGGAGCAAAAGGATGAGGAGTACCATTGCTGCGGGAGAGATTCTTGCAAAGCTGTATGACCAGCGATGTTCGTCGCTACCAGGTAACCCTATCTAAATGTGCCTGAACTTGTCCGTCAACAGCCGCGTCCTGGGTAAAACGATAACCTACATCCGTCAACAAGGCCTTTGATCAGGAGGTTTTGAGGGGCATGCAATCAACTCTTAATTGCTAGCGTTTCCTGGTTCACCCAAACCCGGGGTGGTAACAACTATCAGATTTCCCAGTTGTGTGCAAAAAGTTAACCTCCCTCAAAGGGGGTCAATACACTATGAAAGAATAAAAATAGATTTTAATACCAGCAATACTTTTTTGGGAAAAATTATTACCAGCAGTACATTTTTAGAAAAGAAACATATTATCAGCAATAGATCTTTGAAAAAAGAAATTTTACTCACAATACATTTTTTGAAAAATATTACAAAAAATACACTTTTGGAAAAAAAAAATATTACCAGCAATAAAAGTCTTGTCGGCATTAAATAACCCATTGAGGTTGATATACCGTAAAACAAAACAAAACAAACTTGAATTTCCTTATTTAATTACGGTAATCAAAATCCTCATAAGAAAGTGAAGAAAGAGAAAAATATTCGTAAATGTATTTTTATCGGTGTCAATTTTGATGTCTGGCTTACATATGAATATACTGTCATAAAAAAAAATCTGTTTCAAGCTGTTATTTATAAGCTGTCAGTTAATATCTTCTTAATTTTGAATCACGATAATTTTTTTTTCTTGGTTTAAAAACTAACAGCGCATCTAAATGTTTAATCACCTCACAATAACGCTTCAAATTCAAATTATATCAAATTTTTCTTAACGCCCGTGTTTTGGGGGGGAAAACCCGAATGATCACGAATAGACGAGTTGAATTCGAAAAGAAAACAACAAATATTCATAGATTTTTAAATCTTATCTACAGCCATCTTTGCGAATCGAGTCGAACTTCTTACGCCTGGGCACTTAGGAAAGAATCAAAACCTCATGATCAGTATTTGCACGGAGCGCCTTACTAAAGAAATGAAAATATATTAATCTATATGACTCGAATCGAGTCAAGTAAAATAAACCACATTGTAAAAGCAGAAGAGCGTACACGAGTGAAAAATGACTGAAACTGAAGAGTAGAGCCGACGTTTACGTATCATAAGTACACCATTTAGCTATCGTTTATTGGAGATTATATGAAGAGAACTGAACGTCTATTGAAGAAGGTAAGGATTCATTACCGATTTACAGGGTTGAGTTGGTACACTTGCTGCCCGTGTATGAGGATAT